GGGAGGAGGAGGGAACTAGAGGAGAAAGTTCTCTTCAGAAACAGAGAGAGCAGGATTTTAGAAGGAGACCTTATGCTGGTGTTAAAGCCAGTGGACTGAGTGTGTGGTCTGGGATAATGTCTCTTGAGGTGAATGCGCCATGGTATTAACCAGCCTGCTATAGTGAATGGAGAAGTTCAAAGTTATGGTCAGGGAAACACACATGCTCCCTGGATGGCTGACCCTAAAAAGTTCCAAAGGAGACATTCAATGGCTTCCCATGGTCTATGGGAGAAAAGCTACACTCCTTAACCTTGAATTCAAGGCCCCCATCATTTGGCTCAAAATCATCAGAGCATCTTTTTCCAATGCTCTTCCCAATTCCCGATTTGCCCCAGCCAGGTGGGTGCCCTCAATGAATCAAGCATATGTGGCTGGGCCATTCCTGTCCCTCTATTTTCTCTTGGCATTCTCCCAGCCTGAAATGTCTTCCATTTCGTCTATGTAAGTCACAAGCACTCTCCAACAGCCTGTTCAGCTTCTACTTACCATGTAACATCTTCTCTCATGAACATGCAGCCTGCTCACCCATTCCCTCACACACGTAATTCTCCCAGCAGGCCGCGGGCCACTGTGCAGAAGACATCTGGGTGGGCACATTGGCAGGTATAAAGGTGTCTACCATTCTCCTTTAGTCTGAGGAGTTCAGAGTTTAGTGGGTGAGGTAAGCATGCACACAGACACAGTAGAAAGGGGTCATTGTTGTCAGACCGGGACATATGACATTTTATAATCATTCGGGGGAAGACATATTATCTCTTTTTGGAAGAGATCAGGAAAAGCTTAACCTCAAAGATTGAGCAGGACCAGAAAAATTTGAATGAAAGAAAATCCAGGCAGCAACAACAGGGTAGGAAGATGAGAAGGGGCCACAGGGTGCAAAGGTGTGTGGGCTGGCTGTGGGGCGTTGGTTCGGAGAGAGCCCAGGGTGACGTGCTACGCTCTGGCTGCCCATCCCTGTCTGCTGGGACTTCACGGTGCATTTAGTGGGAAACTAAAA